TAGATTATGTAATAACAGACATATTTCTTAACCTAGTAAAGTTACGGGAATGGAATTCCTAAAAAAAGTATCTTTCCTGTTGATGGGTACAAAAAGTTGCCTGCGTATCTATAGTTTAAGGTTATCTTGTTTCCCATTCCTGATGCTGTTTCTCCTGAGAGCAGTAACACAACAATAAGAAAAACCAGCTCTTTAAAATATCTCAGTGAAAAACTGAAATGCATATACAACAACAAAATCCTACAGCAAATAGTTCTCCATTATCTAAAAACAACTGTAGTTCCATCAGAAAAGGGTTACAAAAAATGACCAAATATTCCTTAAGAACATGCATCACACATTTTACAATACTGGCTTTAACGTGACTACGCTCAGTCCTCCAGAGTCAGTCAGCAGAGTTGCACAAGTATGCTCTGATTATTTTTATGGTTCATACATCAGTCACTGACCAATTTCCAGCTGCAGTTTATTAGACATAATTGCAGAAGGAACAGCTTGACTTTTAGAACCAATTAAGCAATCACAGTACAGAGATCCACTTCTTCCTCTATTTTTTTTTAAATCAATCACCCAAGATAATTTTATAGCAAGGTGAAAACAAGCATTGGAGAGAAAGCTGATGAATACTAGGGAGGCCTATTTTAACAAGGCAGATGATACAGCAAATAAGGTACAAGGAAGTGCGTGTTAAGGACTAACAGGAGCTACTCAAGCACTTTTGGGCTTGAAATTTGAATTATTGAAGGGGAAGAAGCAGGGTATCGAAGCAACAGCAGCATTATTTCATACTAGGTATTTAAAAGCTGGTATTGTCAGTGAAATAACAACCTGAGAACAGAATGGAATTAAAACCACCAATATGCTTTCTGCTTGGAAAACTTCAGCTTTGACTACCAGACCTAGAAGCAGAACAGCTATTTCAGATAGTCTGAGCAGAGGACCAGAATAACTTTAGCAGTCCTTCACTTTACCAATACTCTGTTTTAGAGAGGAAAGAAGTATGCAATAAAACTATGCAGAACATAATAGAACAGAAACTGAAATGTAAATAAGCTCCTGTTGCTAACTAACAGCTAGCTATAAAAAAGTAAATGATTACACAAAGATTGGTTAGAAAGCACTGCATCAGTTTTTACACAATCCATAAGCAAACTGCCACCAGAAATTATCTAAGAATTTAGGATTCAGGAGTGTTTCTATGGATAAAGAAAACAGTTACATCACAATAACAGTAATTAAAAAGTATATAGAGTCTTTTAAAACATTAACCCTGAAACAGATCATTGGTAGGCTAAAGCTCAACTTTCCTAACAACCCGATTCAAAAAGTATATAATACAGCAAGTCAGAAAAAGCACATTCTTTAGTGCCTTCACTAGTACACATGCTGCTGTTCACAGTGGTCCATGGAAACATGTTCAGTAGCAGGAAGAAGTAAAGTGGAAAAAAGATAACACTCAACACTTAGTAGCTTAAAGAGAATTCAGTCATGGATGAGAGGACACTGAGTGCAACAAAATGCTAGAAAATAAAATTTAGTCAGCTTTCACCCCCCCCTTAAGAATTCTCTACACTGTTAACATACAGTTTATCAGATAACTTTTAAAAAATAAAATATCCCAGACAATCTTTATTTCAGAAAGTTAAAAGGCATAATTTAAATGCCTCTTCAAGTTTCTACCCATTTGATACTAAAGAAAGTATTAAAAAGGTCACAGCAGTTTGTTTTGAAAGATCTTTCATGTAAGACCTCTGCTGCCACCGCAAGGATACAAACGATGAGACAACCTAAAACTTCTGAAGCTTAAACGTTCTAAAAGATTAAGCACACAACATGAATGCACGCAGTAGCATGCAGCAGAGCTGGTTTGTGCATGTGGCTTTTGACATTTTGTGCTATCTATTTGAATGGTTTACTAATGCACTCAGAATGACTGCATTAGTGACACCTGCCAATTTTTGTCACAGAAATACCATACGTCCCCATTCTCAAATTAAATATTTTAGCAGCGTTTCAGAGTGCTTTAGTGGACAAATTTGGGTACTATTCCTCCAGAAAACCAGGTTGCCATCATATTATTGATAAGTGGAATACAAAATACTGACTTTCAAGTCCATCATTGGCCAAGACCAGATACTATCCATAGTGCTACTGTGCAAATTCACACAGTATTCCGCTTGTGGAGATGGGCAGGTTCTCCAAACCATGGTGTCCAAATGTTGGAAACAAAGGTTTGTGGGTGCAGGTGGCTTATTAAGAGATAAAAGTAACTTGGGTCACATCTCATGGCTCTCATTTGCTAGTGGTCACTCACTGTTTCATGTAATTCTGTGGTCTGCAGTTTCCACATACCTACCACAATTATTAATGCACACTGACAAATAACTTGACTGTGTGGCCATACTGTCAATAAACCAGCACAATTCCATATTTTCCATCTCAGAAGCATGTATAGCCTGGAATCTAAGCACTTGGGCACTTATCAAGCTTCAAAACACACCGGAAGGCATGCATGAATCTTCACAGGTGACAGTCAGCTGAGGATCTGAAATAGCACCTGAGAGTGGCCATCAGAACCCTGGCTCTGACCGAGACTCCCCTTTCCCTTGTTTATTAGTCCTTCCAAAGAGCATACTTAAAACAAACAAAGAATATCTTCGATGAAGAAGAGACTCACTGCAGACGCTAGCTACCATACAATTATAATTTGCATCTCACGCGAAACACTGTTTGGG